GCAACAACAACACACAAACAACTCAACAAAACTTTATAAATTTAGTTATAATGTGCTCTTTCAAAAAAAAAAAAACTGGGCACATCACGTAACAAGGATATACATTGAAAATCCATGATTTAAAATTTAAAAAAAATATGAGACAAGCGAGGCAAGGTAATCAAGCTCTGGAAAGCCCCTCCCCCCCCCCACCCCACACACGAGGAATGAGGTACTGCTAACCTAGCCCTATGACGCCCAGAGGCGCAAGAAGTCAGGCAGGTAAATGGAGACAGTGAATGTTCAGTCTTCCCTCTCTCAGCCTAGCCCCTCCTGATCCTACATTGCAGCCAGGCTTTCTGTTGCTCAGAAACACTGCTGTCCAACATACCCCATCCACTCATCTGTCCATGTGGACAGCCAGTAAGAAATGTCCTTCTAAGTTCTCTCCACTTCATAATACACACACATCTGGATACATACTCGAGTATGCACATGCATCGCGCGCACACACACACTGTGTGAAACATGCCTTCAAACTTAAAGACACCATTCTTTGACAATAATAACTATTTAATGTAGACATCATCCAACTTTTCTTAGTTTGCATAAATGTCTATCCAAATGAAGTCATGCTATCACTTTTATTCAGTCCTCACTGCCAAGTCCCCGAAGCCACATTTAAACATGCTGGGCAAAGACAGAATCTTCTAGTAAGCGTATCCTGATTTGTCCAGGACACTCTCATTTAAAGTCAGTCACCAACACAAAATAATAGCACCCTCACCTCGCCATTTGCTCATAAATTGTGATCTCCACTTCTCTAATTCAACTTTCCCCATCTGGAAAGTAAATTAGTACCTCGAAATCCATACCTGAGAAACGGGGGGGACGGGACCACACGACATGCCTTGTTTCTGGGTAAGAAATCTGCACCCCTGCCCAGTGCTACTATAATTTTCCTATTATTCTTAAAGCCTGCTGTTGGGAACCCAATGTCTCCTTTAAAAATCCCACACATAAAAGAATCTAAGTGTATGACAGGGGAAAGTATATAAATCCAGTTATTAATAGACCATAGGTTTGGAGCACATTTATAAATACTTAAGAATCTGGCAAAAAAAAAAAAAATCAGTGAAATGCTTTGTGTGAAAAAGCAAGCTACTAACTTTTATACAAAGGCAAGAGAAGACTCTACAAAGAAAGTAAGCAACGTGTTCGATGTGGTGTCATGACGGGTGCTGTACTAGTGACCATTCTTCTGTGTCCTTCTGCCTCACTGGGATGAGGTTTACTGTGTTTGCCCAAGAGTAAAATGTTCCCACTGAAGCGAGAGTGAATACACAGGGTGTATCCAGATGCTAAGCAATCCCCAACTGCTGTAAAGCTACAGGTAAACCTGAGCAACTTGAGGTATTTACCAAAGGCACAGAAAACAAGACACTTCTAGGATAAAGGGACCACAAAGTATTTGTATCCTTTGCTTATGCAAAGTACTTGTAATGTCATTGGTGGCAAGAGATTTCTAGCGTTCGAGGTGGTGTTAGATAATGGTTCTTACCCAGGTTTAAGCTTGAAGAGGATCCATGTGAAGAGAGGGAAGGAGGTGGTGTCTGTGAATGTCCTGGTCCCTGACTAGGGAGAGGCATGCCCACGGGTCCAGGAGAGGAGGAAAAGCTAAGGCCGTTATAAAAACTGTGTCCAATGGGGGTCAAGCTGCTCGATGTCCTCTTATAAAGGTCACTGCTGCCAGTCAGGGAGTCACGGCGGGAGCCACTGCCAGTGTTGGAGTTTGCAACTAAAATGGAATTAAAACAATGCAGATAAGAACAGGCCTGTTCTTTGAAGAACAAGCCCAGGGGCCTGTTCCTAACACTTTGATCCAGACTCCTTACCACCGCAAATGTGTCAGAGACAGCCTAACTGTTAATGTAGCAGTTCTAGAGTAATAAGTAATAAAGAGGACATGGCTTGGGTTAACAGAGCTATTATTCAAGCCATCACACAAATATGCCAAATTTACCTTCCTTTAGTGTCACAGATATTATGGGATGGGGGCAGATTAAAAAGCTTTGACGGCCACATGAGCTATGGGAAAAGTGAAAGGAAATGAACTAGAAAGAATGCCTTTCATCAGCCAAAAGGTTCTGGCAGAAAAATGGAATACAGAAAAAAGATGTGTAAGCAGGGCACTGCCCCACTACACAAGACTTTTTTATGCAGGCCTGTCATCTTGGTGGGCTCCATCAGGAGCTACTGCTAGACTACAGCTCCAGTTAGTACACCTTCTCTCAAACATGCCCTTCTGTTCTGAAATCACACTGCTGATAACCACTCCAAGTATCCCACTGTCCATCAGACTACATGCTTGCATACTTCTCCCATCGAGACAAAGTTTTGGTCTAGCATCCTTCCTCCCAATGTTCCACAGCATCTCCCTTAACACTGTTCAAAACACTATAGATTAAAAACTCCCAACTGTTTAAGGTAGTCAAACCAAGCCCCGGGAACAATGATGAATGTGAAGCACCCAGCCCTGTGACCTTCAGTGACTCCTTCTCCTCAGCTTAACATCCACATTGACCTAGTTGCCTCCACATGCTTCCTAATGCCTGCAAGAACCTCTCTAGTTTTCAATGCCTGAAACAAACTGACAAAGTGAACAGAAGTAGCAACATGAGCATGGACCTAAAGAGGCTCTGGATGCATAATGATTTCTGTAGTCCAACATCTCAAAGGTTAAGTGGGCTGGCTAGATTCTCAGGGACTTGATCCAGACTGCCTGTGGTATCTGTGCAGGGTACCATGCACTGTCAGGGTTCCAGAAAGATTATAAAACTTATTCAAATTCATTTTAACAGCTTCTCAGTCTAACTTCTACCTGCTGTTCCAAACCCTCCAAGGGCCGATCCCAGGGTGGCACCAAGAGAGCTGCTGCTTCCGAATCCCAAGGACGTGTTGGCAGGCTGGGCAGAGCCCTGAGAGAAGAGGGAGCTGCTCTGGGAGTTGCTGCTCAGAGAGTTGTTGCCATAGAAGGAGCTGGAAGCCAGGTTGTTACTGGGCTGCTGGGGCTGGGGCTGGGGCTGCTGGGTGCCTAAGGGTCGAAATGGTCCATTTGTGGTTCCAGCAAGACCACCAGCTGCCCCATTTGCTGAAGCTGCAGCCGCTGCAACAGCTGTGCAGAAGAAAGCAAACCATTAGGCTAAGGCACTGGCCACACACGCAGACTGTACTATATCCATTTAAAAAAAAAAAAGAAGAAAGAAAACTCTTTTTTTTTGGTTTTTCGAGACAGGGTTTCTCTGTGTAGCTTTGCGCCTTTTCCTGGAACTCACTTGGTAGCCCAGGCTGGCCTCGAACTCACAGAGATCCGCCTGGCTCTGCCTCCCGAGTGCTGGGATTAAAGGCGTGCGCCACCACCGCCCGGCGAAAGAAAACTCTTAATACTACCTTATCTTTTCAAGGCTAACACCGACCTTGTAAAGAACTGTACAAATCTATCTTTGATCCCTTCATCAGAAGCTTCTGTCTTATTTCTATTATTGACTTGAAGTGAAAATTGCACAGGGCAAACTCTCTTTGCTAGAAGCAGATCTCCAGTTTGAAAGTGGCTCAAGCGTTATACAGACGCATTAAATACAACTACTTCCTAAAATCTCAAATTCTATACATGCCCACGGAGATTTTTTTCCCCTGAAACTATTTTATCCATACACTTTCAACTTCTTCTTTTTAACATACTGCTCTTTACATGACAGTCCCTGTATGTACATACGTATTTAGGGACAGAGTTGTACTATATAACCCTGACTGGAATGGAATTTGAACACTGCCTCCTGAGAACTGGGATCAGAAGTATGTGCTACCACCCCCCCCCCCCAGCTTACTCTCATTTTTAAAAAAACTCATGCAAAAAGCTTAAAGAAAACTTCACCATGTTGTCAATCAATTCATTATTCTGCCAGTTCTGTCAAGGTTTCCCATGTCTTCTACTCATCACTATGCCAAAATAAACCCGCCCAAAGAACCTCTGAGAAACAAGGTGCTGTTAGTCTTTGGAATACTGCCTCAAGTGCCATTCCCTGTGCATGATCCCGAATCTATCCAGGTGCCACAGAACCACCAACAGAATCTGAATCCACCAGACTGCTTTCCAGCTTCTGATTCTCTTGGAAATATTACAGGGTAAGAAAACCTATATTGAGATTTTTCCAATTAAAGCTCATTATACCCTACTTGAAGACTATTGCTGTCAACCACCCCACCCATTAGTTTCCTCCAAAATAAAGCTCACCTGCTTGTGCAGCTGAGGAGCTAATGATGACTGGAGCCGGAGCCACAAGCCGAACTGGAGCTCCAAGGCCATTTCTCGCCCCTGCATTTACCACGAGGGCACCAGTTTGGTCATAGTAAGCAGCAGGTGCCAAGACTGGATAACCTGGGTATAATGAACAGCACACAAATACAGACAATATCAGTCTCCGCTGCCAGTGTTTTAACCACTGTGTAAAGTATTAGGTGCAAATTCCTGAATCACCCATTTGTAAGCATTAAACCACATGGCCATTCTAAGTGACATGATGAAATCTCACAGCACTCCAGTTCTAATTTCCTGTAAATGTTACCTATCCATTAGCCATAGCTGTCTAGGTTATCAGACTATCTCATCAGTATTGGGTACTGGTGGGACAGTGTTTGAAATCACAGGCTCTCTGCTTAACAACAGGGGTAACCTTACTCAGGTGCCTGAGGACTGAGGCTGCTGCTGTGTCAGAATAAAATCTCCATATTCCAGTTGCTGAAATCTATAGTAACTCTAAGCTGTCGTGCTAGTTTGGAAAAGAATGGTTCCTATAGGCTTACATGTTTGGATACACAAGCATTTAGACCAAAACCAAAGAATATCCCTCAAACAGGATGCCCACGTTTCATCCTGAAGAGAAAAAGGCTGCCAACAAAATAAAGCTCCCATGCTAATCTGTGGGGACACTCACAGATCTCACATGTAAGGATGACCAATGACTGGCTCAGAACAAAGCTCTCATCAACGACCTCTGGTCTAAGTGAGGGCAAGTATGTATCATCCCTGCCAGTCGCCAATCCTAAAAGGCTGGGACAAGCCAAAAGAACTGGCCATTCTCCTTGAATGCACACTTTTTTGACCCAGCGAAGTATTAGGAACATCAGCACAACCTTACCTGGCATACCTGCAGCCAGACCTTGTCCAAAGGCAAGAGCAGAATTCACGGCTGCAGCTGCTACAAGGGGATCTGTTTGCTGTCCCTGCTGGTTCTGATTTGGGGTCAAAGGACGCTGGCTAGCCCCTCCACGAAGAACCTAGGAATAAGAGGCAGAAATGCCATCTCACAAGAAGTTTATTGAGGACATGCTATATGCCCTGGTAGAGTCAGCTTTTTAAATGTTAACAATAATAAAACATTTCTTTCTTACTACTAAATTCTTTATTCATTCTGGGGAGTGGGGGTTTCTCTGCATAGCCCTAGCTTTCCTGGACCACCCAACAATAAAAAGTTTCTTATAATGGTTTTATCACATGGCATGGCTGTTAAGATAAAAATTCAATTCATCCCATTATATATTAAAACTTCCATTTAGTATCCTTAGTTGTAAACACAACCTTTACAAACAGTAGAGTTTGCCAGGCAGACTTAAATTCCAGCACTCGAAAGGCAGAGGCAGATAGATCTCTGAGATTAAGGACAGCCAGAGCTACATAGAGAAACTCTATCTCAAAAAAACCAAAAAGGGAGGAGGAAAGAAGGGAAGGAAAGAGAGGGGAAAGGGGGGTGGGAAACAGCAGAACACAGCAAAGAGAGATTGCTTCTTTAATCAAATAGTTAACTCTTACAATGGATCACACAATAAAAACCGAACTATATAAACAGGCAAAGTTTGTGTATAATAAGATAATAAAGATAATAATGGGGCTGGAAAGACAGCTTAGCTTAACATTAAGAACTCTTGCAGAGGACCCAGGTTCAATTCCCAGCACCCACATGGCAATTCATAAACGCCTGTAACTCCAGTTCTAATAGAGCCAATTCCCTCTTCTGGTCTCCCAGATGCACATGCACATGCACATGCAGGCAAAACACTCATACACATAAAACAAAAATGAATAAATCTAAGGGAGGGAGGGAGGGAGGGAGACAATGCAATGTCAGAGTGAAGTGAGTGAAGAAAGAACAGAAAGGAATAGGAGGGGGCAGCTCAGACAGGTCTAACCACGGATGTGAGGGATCTAGCTGTACATATACACATCACCTTTTGTCCCCAGAGATTCTTAAACTCAATATGTAGCAAAGAGTGATTCTGAACTTTTTATCATCTTTCCTCCACTAGTTATACATGATCCTGGGGACAAAACCCAGGGCTTCACAAATGCTAGGAAAATCCTCTGAGCTAATACCAACGGGGAAAACTCCCAAACCAAAAGACAAATTCTTACCATGATTTTTTCCTTTTCATCATGTATGGAGCACTGAATGAGAATGGCCCCCACAGGTTCATGTTTAGCTACTTTGTCTCCATGGGATAAAACTGTTTCTTAAAATTAGGAGGTGTGGCCTTGTGGGAGGGAGTATGCTAACTGCGATGAGCTTGTGGTTTGATAGGTTGCTACCATCATGCCTTCCCTCTACCATCATAAACTCTAACCCTCTAGAACCATAAGCCCTAGTAAACTCTTCCTTCTATGAACTTCCTTGGACATGGTGTTTTATCACAGCAAGAGAAAAGCCACTAGCACACCTCACGACTTACAAAAGTCAGATGTGTAGTCACAAACTTACAGCCATTAATGAAAAATTAAAAAGAAGGGCCGAGAGACGGCTCAGCAATGAGGTGCACTTGTTGCTCTTACAGAAGACCCAAGTTCTGTTCCTAGCATCACATGGTAGCTCACACCACCACGTTCCAACTCCAGTTCCAGGGGATCCGATGCACTTTTCTGACCTCTATTGGTACCAGTCACACATATATACAATCAGACAAAACACTCACACATTTACGTAAACATATGTATGACAGGCTTAAGATCTCATCTAATAGTGTTTCAAAGTTCAGTCTTAAAAACACTTTAGTCTGGCTGGCAAGGCAAAACCCTACAATGCCCTGTAAGTGGTACTCAGCAGGCAGCTGCAGAATGGAGAAACGAAAGTAGTATTTTTAGCCTAAAGAGCCACTGTGTACCTGCTGGCTAGATAATTAACTGTATGTATACCTCTCTAAGCAACTCTTACAGGAAATCTGAATCAAGCTGAGTGTAGTATCATATACCTAAAATCCCAGCACTCAGAAGACTGAGTAGGTAATCGTTGCATGTTCAAAGCCAGCCTGGGCTACATAATGAGTTCAGGGCCATCTTGGGCTTCATAGAGAGATTTTGACTTGGGGGGGGAGGGGCGGGGGGCACAGAGGCACCAAAAAAAGCAAACAAAACTAGTATTATTTCCTTAGTTAAATTTAAAAGCACAGCCGGGCGGTGGTGGCGCACGCCTTTAATCCCAGCACTCGGGAGGCAGAGCCAGGCGGATCTCTGAGAGTTCGAGGCCAGCCTGGGCTACCAAGTGAGTTCCAGGAAAAGGCGCAAAGCTACACAGAGAAACCCTGTCTCGAAAAAACCAAAAAAAAAAAAAAAAAAAAAAAAAAAATTTAAAAGCACAGCTGACATTCTGGCAGTGTGTGGTCTACACCATGAGTTCCAGGACAACCAGGGCTGTAGAGTGGAACTCCCCACCTCAAAAAAAGGAAAGACAGAGAAAGGCATTTTTGAAAGAACAGTCACTAAAGTGTTTGTTGCCTGAGCATGTGAACCAGAACTCGATCCCTAGCACAGAGTGCAATGACAAAGAGCGAGAGACAGGAAGATCCCTGGGCTCAATGGCCAGACAGTCCAGCTTAATTGGTGAGTGCCAGGTCTGGATGAGAGATGCTAGTCTCAACAAAAAAAGATGGATGGTTCCTTACACCAGAGGATAACCTCTGGCCCACATAACCCCCAACAGCAATAATATGAATAGCTAAATGAGCACTGGCACAAATATGCGGGTGTGCACACATAGGCACTCAGCATCTTATGATGAAGAGTGCCGTCATTTGTGAGCTGTGCACACACCACAAACATACACAGGCACCTAGTTTTACGAACAGGATCAACATCATCTATGAGTGGTTTGCACGAATGCACACATAAGCACACACAGGCTCTCATCAGTCTATGATGAACAGGGACATTGCCTGTGAGTAGCACATATCATCAGCTGCCCTCACAGGAGTGGCTGGTGTTGCCTTTACCTGCTGCTGTCCTTGCTGGGCCTGCGGAGCACTCTGCTGAGTAGAATTTGTTGCTGCTGCAGCTGCCGCAGCTTGCTGCTGGAAAAGACTGGCAGGGTAGACACCCCATGGAGTGACTCCATAATATTGGTGGGGGACCACAGCTGGGCCTAAAAATAATCAGAAAAAGGAAAGAGAAGTTTAAAAAGAATGATTTTAGGATTATTCAGATCTTGAAAGATGAGATCAAAAAAACACTAACTTAAAGAACACAAAGATTCGTGCTAGCTAATAATTATGACAAGGGGGGGAGGGACAGACGGACTGACAGGTTGTATCCGAGCCTCCTCACAACCGTCTTCTGAAGGCAGGACTGCACTACAGTCAGACAATGCAAGCGTGAGGCGGTGAAACTACTGGAAGGAGAGAGGCTGGGGACTGAAGGGATGGGGCCGAACCAAGGGAGAGACCGCCCGAGACAAGGTCTGGTTTCCAGACAAGGTCTGGCTTTGTTAGTACATCTGGCTTCAACCTAGAGATGCTCCTGCCTCAGCCTCCCAAGTGCCGGGATTACATGTGTGGACCAGCATACCCATCCAGAAGTTACGTTTACGCCATGAGAAAGAAAAGATTCAGGACGGACACTAGACAAAGTGTGCTGCTGAAAGAGAAATAAATGGAGACGGCATGATTTTAAACAGAAAGGAAAAGAACAAATTTCAGCTCTGATCTATCTTCATTCACAGGGTTACCAGGCCCCTGTGTCACTAACTCCAGAAGAAATCTATTTTCCTTCTGATAACAGGACCTCCACCACATAATTTCAAACCCCCTTGATTTTCTTTTTCTTTTTCCATGTTTAAAGTGAAAAGTCATTCACACAACAAACATTCAGACATTGGTACATCAAGTTTTCAATTTCAATGACTGCAATTTAAACCAAAGCATAGCATCACTTAACCTTGACTGACCACAGGGCCATTGACCACAACACTGAAACTAAGCACTCTGCTCCAAGCCGAGTGAGCAGTCCATTTTCTCTGGTGATGACAACTCCAGTGTCTGCACACAGAGCAAAGCAGCAGATCTGAACGTAAAAAGGATGGCTCAGAGAGTAACTTAGGTGGGACCAAAGTCTAGGTCAAAATCCTATGCAGAAGTTGGTAATGGAAAACACAAAGGATGTGCATTCCCCGGCAGACAGTGGTAGGGTTCTAAGCTAAATTGTGTAAGCGTATTTTACATAAATAAAAGAACCTACAAGCCAAATGGCGGTGGTGGTACATGCCTTTAATCCCAGCACTGGGGAGGCAGAGCCAGGCGGATCTCTGTGAGTTCGAGGCCAGCCTGGTCTACAGAATGAGATCCAGGACAGGCACCAAAACTACATAGAGAAACCCTGTCTCGAAACCCCCCCTGCCCTGCCAAAAAAAGAACTTACAGAAAAACAGAGAGAGTATTCAAAGACAGCTCTCAAAGCTGGTGAAACATGCCTGCAATTTTCTTTCTGGGTCCCAGCACAGGGATAAGCATGTGCAGCCTGACTCACTAACAGTGAGCAAGCACAGCACTTGTGTTCCAAAGAGATGTTTCAAACAGTACAGCTGTACAGACAGAGGAGATGCTTCTCATTAAACAAAATGAAACTGGCACACTCTCTCCAGTTTTTAAAGCACCAGTCAGTCAGACTGCACCACTGCCTAATGATAGGCTGCAACATTTCTAGCTGGGGTCGTTCAGTGCCTATGGGCTTAGCATGACCAAGAATGCCCACTGTGAAACTCTACAGCCAGCTGCAC